AATGACGGCTGCAACCAAAAAATAGCCATGACACTCTACCCAGGGGGACAGCTTGAGGCTCTGTCTCAAAAAAATAAAAATAAAAATAAAAATAAAAAAACCCCACTGTTGTAAAATGTTCAGTTATCCCTATAGACAATTACCTGTATCATAATGGCATACATTTATTTATTTTTTGTAGACATAATCTTTTTTTGTCGCCCTTGGTAGAGTGCTGTGGTATCATAGTTTACAGACCTCAAACTCCTGAGCTCAAGGGATTGTCTTGCCTAAGCTTCCCAAGTAGCTGGGACTACAGGTGCCTGCTACAATGGTGCCTATTTTTTAGAGATGAGGTCCTGCTCAGAGTGGTCTGGAACCTGTGAACTCAGGCAATCCTCCTGTCTTGGCATCCCAGAGTACTAGGATTATTGGCGTGAGCCACTGGGACCAGCCTATACAATTTTTTTTTTTTGAGACACAGTCTCACTGTGTCACCCTCATTAAAGTGCTGTAGTGTCACAGCTCACAGGAACCTCCAACTCCTGGGCTTAAGTGATCCTCTTGCCTCAGCCTCCCAAGTAGCTGGGACTATAGGTGACCGTCACAATGCCCGGCTTTTTTGTTGTTGTTGCAGTTATTGTTGTTTAGCTGGCCAGGGTGGGGTCTGAACCCACCAGTCTGGGTGTATGTGGCCAGTACCCTACCCACTGAGCAACAAGTGACGCCCATACATTTTTAATTTTTTTTTAATGAGACAGTTTCATTATGTCGCCCTCAGTAGAGTTCCATGGTGTCATAACTCACAGCAGCCACAAACTCTTGAGCTTAAGCGATTCTACTGCCTCCCAAGTAGCTGGGACTTAGAGGCACCCGCAACAATGCCCAGGTATTTTTTGGTTGTTGTTATCATTGTTGTTTGGCAGACCCAGGCTAGATTTGAACCCACTAGCTCTGATGTATGTGGCTGACTCCCTAGCTGCTGAGCTACAGACATAGAGCTAGGGATTTACATTTACTTTTTAAAAAAATCTTGCAGCTGTCATTGTTGTTCAGCTGGCCTGGGCTGGGTTTGAACCTATTAGCCTTGGTGTATGTGGCTAGCAGTCTACCCACTGAGCTACAGGCACTGCTTATACATTTATTTGTTTAAAAAATGAGTTTTCCTTTCACTACTATACAAATAAGCATTATGTTATAAATTCTAGGGGATAGTTTTATGGTGATTTCCATGTTATTTCTCAACATTTTTACCCCTAAGAGATTGCAAATATTCATTATAAACTGCAAAAAAAAAAAAAAAAAGAAAAGAAAAAGAAAGAAAGAAAAGAAGAAAGAAAACGTGGGCTCAGCGCTTGTGGCTCAAATGGCTAAGACGCCAGCCATATACACCTAAGGTGGCGGATTCGAATCCAGCCCGGGCCCGCCAAAACAACAATGGCAGCTGCAACCAAAAATTAGCTGGGCATTGTGGTGGGCACATGTGGTCCCAGCTATTTGGGAGGCTAAGGCAGGAGATCTGCTTAAGTCCAGGAGTTGGAGGTTGCTGTGAGCTGTGATGCCACAGCACTCTACTCAGGGGGACAGCTTGAGGCTCTGTCTCAAAAAAAAAAAAAAAAAAGAAAATGTGGATAATGTGAAGCTAGGAAAGGTGAAGTTCAAATAAGAACATATGTAGAGCCAGGTGCGGTGGCTCATGCCTATAATCCCAACACTTGGGGGGCCAAGGTGGGTGGACTACCCCATCTCTAAAAAATAGCCAGGTGTTGTGGTGGGTGCCTATAATCCCATTACTTAGGAGGCTGAGGCAAGAGGATCACTTAATTGAGGTTGGTATGAGCTAAGACACCATGGTACTCTAACAAGGTTGACCAAGTTAGACTCTGTCTCAAAAAAAAATATGTAAAAATGATTTTTTTAATCTAGTATATACAAGACTAGGCAGTAGATAGAATATAACCCCAAAATAGCAGTCTAAGCTTCTAACATCATTCAACAGGGCTTTAAGAGCGAATGATAAAGGATTTCTCAGATTATCCAAAAATGAAAATCATACATTTAATAAGACAAGAGATAGGCTCGGTGCCTGTAGCACAGTGGTTATGGTGTCAGCCACAAACACCTAGGGTGGTAGGTTTAAACCCAGCCTCAGCCAGCTAAACAACTACAACAAAAAGTGGTCGAGCACTGTGGTCCCAGCTACTTGGGAGGCAGAGGCAGGAGAATCACTTAAGCCCAGGAGTTGCAGGTTGCTGTGAGGTATGACACCACAGCACTCTACCCAAGGTGACATAGTGAGACTGTGTCCAAAACAAACAAACAAAAAAACCCAGATAAATAAGAATTTTTGTTCACTACATGAGACTAAAAGTTGGCACAATTCACACAAAAGACTATTTGGAAGTGACTGAATTGTAATCTTAAAATCTCCTCTAAGGATTTTCCTTCAGATGTAATTGCACACATGGGCAATGATGATTAAAGATCAGGTTATCATTGCATTGTCTGTTATAACAATGTAAAAGACTGAAACTACTTAATGTCCAGAAAAAATGTGAAAAACTTTCTATTGTTTTAATTTTAAACATGTGAATATAACAGATATTCAAACAAATTATTTTTAAGTGAATGACACAAACCAAAGTCCTAACTGTGCTTGTGCTTGAGGGTACGAATGGTGGTGGAGAATAACTTGGGGTCAGATTCTGGCTCTATTTACCTTTCTTGAATACTAGAATTGATATAAGGAAGAGCCCAGAAAGGAAGGACAGACCACATACAAATACCACAGTAAATCAGAGGAAAATACAAAACAAAATAAAACTATTAATGATGTTAAAAAAAACTTACTGGGATCCTGTCATCTTCTCGTCGTCTTCGACCTCTAAACAGAGTTCTCCTTTTAACAAGAAAAAAAGGGGATGGGACAACTCATAAGTTTCTTCAAATATATATATATTATCAAAGGTAAATTGATTTCCATTTTGAATATTTATAGTTTCTTAACCTGGGGGCCACTCTTTTATTATTATTAAGAGGTATATGTATTCTTCTGAAGGGATCCTAAGCTAAAAAATCTAAAAACTTCACCTACTACCAGCACCACAAATAAATTGGGCCTATTTTTAGTAGCACTCCTTTCTTTTAGAAGTAAAAAGTTAAAACTACAAGGCAGATGGTTACCTTATTTTCCTAAGCTTTTTTTAAAAGTAAAGTATAAAGAATTTCAAAATAACTTTATAAACGTCTGATTAAAGGTATATTCTACTCTTTGCTTTTTTTCTTTTTTTGAGACAGAATTTTACTTTGCCCCCCTCAGTAGAGTGCGTGGCTTCACAGCACACAGCAACCTCAAACTCTTAGGCTCAAGTGATTCTCTTGTCTCAGTCTCCTGAGTACCTGGGACTATAGGCATCTACCACAATGCCCAGCTATTTTGTAGAGATGGGGTCTTGCACTTGTTCAGGCTGGTCTCGAAACTGTGAGTTGAAGCAATCCACCCACCTCAGCCTCCCAGAGTGCTATGATTACAGGCATGAGCCACTGAGCTGGGCCTTCTTTATTTCTTGATAATCATAAAAAATTAAGGTTATATAAATAAGTATTTACCATAACTATACCAACAATTAAAACCAAGCAAAAATCACCAGGTCTTCAAATATGCCAGATGCTCATATTATGAGATAAATTTTTTTGGCCGGGGCTGGGTTTGAACCTGCCATCTCTGGCATATGGGGCCAGTGCCCTACTCGAGCAAATTTTTTTCATATGCCCACATTTCCTTACCTGCCCCTACCATAGTCCCCATTCTGTTCCATCTGCAGAGTGGGAGTCTCCTTTGTGAGGAAAGTTTGCTCCTGATGCCCTGCTACTGTAGGGTTCTGCCGTTCTGTTGGAAAGTTCCTTGAACTAGATCTGTTCAACTGTCCATCCCCCAATGACACAGAGCCCTCTGTTGAGTGTTCTGAACCACTGGATGACCTAAAATGAGGCTTCACACTATAAGAAATAGAAGACCACATACATAAAGGGATAAATCAAGACAGAACTATCTTTTCTTATGTTAAAAACAGGCCTCAGCTATACTCTGCTTTTAAAAAATAAAAGTGTCATACAAGGCTTGGCACCCGGAGCTCAGTGGGTAGGGTGCTGGCCACACACACTGGGGCTGGCAGGTTTGAACCTGGCCAGGGCCAACTAAAACAACAATGACAACAGCAACAAAAAATAGCCAGGCATTGTGGCGGACACCTGTAGTCCTGGCTACTTGGGAAGCCTGAGGCAAGAGAATTGCTTGACCCCAAAACTTTGAGGTGGCTGTGAGCTGTGATGCCAGGGCAGTCTACACAGTTGAGACTGTCTCAAAAAAAAAAGGCGGCACCTGTAGCTCAGTGAGTAAGGCACAGGCCACATGCACCAAGGCTGGTGGGTTTGAACCCAGCCCAGGCGAAATAAAACAATGACAACTACGACAAAAAAATAGCCAGGCATTATGGCAGGCGCCTGTAATCCCAGCTACCAGGGAGGCTTAGGCAAGAGAATTGCTTAAACCCAAGAGCTGAAGGTTACTGTGAGCTGGGACTCCCCAACACTCTAGCCAGGGTGACATAGTGAGATTGTCTCAAAACAAACAAACATACATATATAGATATACACACACACACACACACATAATTCAAATTTTAGCTAATGTTTTTAACATTAGCTGCATTACTGACATGTTTAAATCAGGCTTTAAGCTTATTAATGACTCAACTCCTGCCACTCATTCTTAATTAAAGGGGGCTAAATCCAATGAGAGTTTAAAAAAAAAAAAGTGGGGGAAATCACCTGATCATCATCCCTTTAGGTATAAAACACATATACAGTATATATAGATATATAATAATCTGTATGTATTAAATTTTCAAAGTAGCAAATTAGGGGGAAAAATGTCTAAAAAGGCCATGTAGATGAGTAATAACCAAAGGGGTAAGAAACATTGGAATATACTATTATAGAGACTTAGTGTAGCCTCTTACTAAATAAGCATCCTTCACCTAATGAAATTAGTTCTTCAAAGATCCTTATGTGGATAAAAGGTCGGGATAATACAGCAATATAACCAAACATCTGGCATGACTTCATGAATTAAGGCATGCAATGTGATTAAACAAACTAACCTGCTTTTACCCAATGTAGCTTTTATCTTGGATGATGGGCATAAGCACCCAGCTTCCTAAAAACTTAAAAGCAGTTAAAGCTAGGGTGAGGTAATAGAGGATACAGGTTAATCAAAAACAAAAAGATCTAGAGCAAGCCCACGCAAGTTGAGGATCTTGCCTCTACAATGGATTAAAAAAGCAGCATGAGATATATGATTTGGCCCATTGCTCACAGTTTATACATCCCATTTTTATTTATTTATTTTTTGAGACAGAAACTCAAGCTGTCCCCTAGATAGAGTGCCACAGTGTCATAGCTCACAGCAACTTCCAACTTGGGCTCACACAATCCTCTTGCCTCAGTTTTTCTATTTTTAGTAGAGATGGGGTCTGGCTTTTTGCTTAGGCTGGTCTCAAACTCATGAGCTCAAGCAATCTACCTGCCTCGGCCTCCTAGAGTGCTAAGATTACAGGCATGAGAGCCATGGTGCCCAGCCTATCCCATGTTTTACAATCTCTATTTCTTTCTTTTTTTCGAGGGGACAGGGGGAAAAAAGGGGTAAAGTGCCTTTTCCATCCTAGCTCACAGCAATCTCAAACTTGTGGCTCAAGTGATTCTCCTGCCTCAGCCTCCCAAGTAGCTGGGA